TGGTTCGGGGCTATGTCAGGGCTCATGGTCTTTCTACTGAGTGGACCGTGGAGCTTGTGAGCAGCTCAAGCTCTTACTGATGATTGGATCGTAGAGCTCAGGCCATGTCTTGAGGTAAAAATTTTCCCCTAATGGGTGTCCGAGAGATTACTTCAAGGCCTTGGCTAAACTCCCTGAAACATCTGCCCACGGCCAGGTGTGGTTTTCTGCCTAAGTCTAAAAATAAACATCTAGTTTAAGCAAACATCTCAGCTCTTCTCCTCACCCCCTAACAGTCGGAATGCAGACTGGTGCAGCTACTGTGGAAAACAGTATGGTATTTTCTCAAAACCTGAAAATGGAACGGCCTTTTAACCTGGCATTTCCACTGTTGGGAGTATATACTAAGAATCTTGAAACATCAATTCAAAAGAACCCATGCACCCCAATGTTCATAGCAGCACAATAGCCAAGTGCTAGAAACAACCTAAGTGCCCATCAGTAAATGAGTGGATCGAGAAGTTGTTGTGCATTTACACAATGAAATACTATACAGAAGAAAGAAATAAAGAACTCCTACCCTTCACAACAGCATGAATGGGACTGGAGAGCATTATGCTAAGTGAAATAAGCCAGGCAGTGAATGACAAATACCGTATGATCCCACCTATATGTGGAACCTAATCAATAAAACAAACAAGCAAGCAAAGTAGAGCTAGAGATGTGGAAATAAAAAACAAACTGACAGTAACCATAGGGATGGGAGATAATGGGAGAAAGAAAGGGAAGGGTTAAGTCAAGGAATATATATATAGGACCCATGGTTAAAAACCCCTGGGGAGTGGAGCATTGAATGTGAGAGGTGGTGGTGTATAGGGTAGGGGGACAGTAATGGTAGGAAAATTGGGACAACTGTAATTGAACAACAATAAAAATAATGTAACATATAAGTGGTATATGATGGCCTACATATTAAACTGGTTCTGAATCTTAAAAAAAAAAAACCATAAAGTTTCAGACTGGAAGTATAATGCATTGATTTTAAAAAGTTAAGAATGGGACTTCCGCCAAGATGGAGGCATAGGTGGACATGCCTTGCCTTCTCACACAACCAAGTTTAGAGACAACTAAATATTATCAACAGAAAACACAGTCAGAACACAGAAAATTTAACATTTCGGAAGTCCGTTAACAACAAATTCTTCAGCCTGACCAGTAAGGGGTGAAACCAGAGGCTGGTGAAGCGGGGTTGCACAGGAGGACTCGGTCAGATGGACTCAGGCGCAGAATTCAGACGCCTGGAATCCAGGCGCAGGGTTGGACATAGTGAGCGACCGAGCGAGCGACCAGGCGAGCGACCGCGGGGGAGACAGCTTGGGGGAGCGGTGCTGCGTGTTGACGGTGGTGGCACATTTGTGCACAGGCGGACAGGCGAGGGAGTGGGCAGTTGCACAGGGGCTGGGCGGGTCCCCGCGGCAAGGGGCAGTGGAGGGCGCCGCCATTTTCCTGCTCTGACCCCACCTCCACATACAGCGTCATAACCCAGTGACTCTGAGTGTCCCGGCCCAGGTGAACCACCTAAGACGCTGCTTCTCACCCAGCTATGAGAAACAGCAGAGGGGGTCGCCATTTCCCCCGCTCTGAACACGCCCCCACATACAGAGTCACTACCCAGCGACCTGGGAGTCCAAGGCTCCGCTCCTCACACTTGAAGGGCGTGAACAGACCAAAAATGGCTCAAGAAGATCTCAAAGCCCCAGAGCCCATAGATCTAAGCGATGAAGAAATAGCAAAACTCTCAGACGCACAGTTTAAAACACTGGTCATCAGGATCCTCACAGAACTGGTTGATTATAGCCACAAATTACAGAAACATATGAAGGTGCAACTAATTGAAATGAATGGAATTGCACAGGACACCAATAGCAATGAAAAGGAAACTGGGACTCAAATCAATGGAGTGGACCAGAAGAAAGCAAATAATGGCCAAACAGAAAAGAGTCAAGAAGCAAGAATTCAAAGAAATGAGGAGAGTCTTAGGAACCTCTAGGACATCTTTAAACGCTCCAACATCCGAATTATAGGGGTACCAGAAGGAGGAAAGGCACAGCCACCAGTGGAAAACTTATTTGAACAAATGATAAAGGAGAATTTCCCCAATCCGGCAAAGGAAATAGACTTCCAGGAAATCCAGGAAGCTCAGAGAGTACTAAAGAAGTTGGACCCAAGAAGGAACACACCAAGGCACATTATCATTATATTAGCCAAAATTAAAATGAAGGAGAGAATCCCAGAAGCAGCAAGAGCTAAGGGGACAGTCACCTACAAAGGAGTCCCCATCAGACTGTCAGCAGATTTCTCAAAAGAGACCTTACAGGCAAGAAGGGGCTGGAAAGAGGTATTCCAAGTCATGAAATTCAAAGGCCTACAACCAAGATTGCTCTATCCAGCAAAACTTTCATTTAGAATGGAAGGACAGATAAGGTGCTTCTCAGATAAGGTCAAGTTCAAGGAGTTCATCATCACCAAGCCCTTATTATATGAAATGTTAAAGGGACTTACCTAAGAAAAAGAAGTTAAAGAAACATGAACAGTGAAAGGACAACAAACTCACAGTTATTAACAACCACACCTAAAACAAAAGCAAACTAAAAGGACAGCTAGATCAGGAGTGGAAACATAGAAATGAAGATCACATGGAGGGTTAGCAACAGGGGAGTGGGAGGAGGAGAATGGGGGAGAAGGTACAGAAAATAAGTAGCATAGACAGTAGATAGAAAATAGAAGGGGGGGCAAGAATAGTATGGGAAATATAGAATCTAAAGGACTTGAGACACATGGTCATAAACTAAAGGGGGGTAATGGTGGGGATGGGGGGTAGGGTGGAGGGGAATGAAAGGGGGAATAGAACAACTGTAACAGCATAATCAATAAAAAAAATTAACAAAAAATAAATAAGTTAAGAATGTTTGAGAAATGGAATAATATTCTTGGTTATAAGGTGTTTCTCTAAGATATTTTTAAGCATACATTTTGCATTTGACCATTTTTTAAAAATAGAAGGGCTGTTGTTCTAGGCATTTGGTGAAAAACCATTTATATTGGCTTTGAAGCATTTATATGTGTAAACATTGGTAGATGACCATAACAAAGATATATTGTTAGCTCCAGAATTTAAGAACAGTTAAATCTAAAACTTAAAATGGAATGTAGGCAAATGTTAAATCTGTGTGATACTTTAAATTTTGTAATGTTTCATGCCTCCTCCAGATACCTTAGTCTTGCTTTCACATTTTGTGACAGACAATAGGCCTATATTGCTAAATACTTCCTTAAAAAGCTGAAGCTTTCCCATACAGTTAGTTGGATCTCTTTTATTTTAGTACTGTTTTCTTTAGCCATGCAAAAGCTTTTAATTTTTATGAGATCCCATTTGTTTATTCTTTCCTTTATGTCCATTGCTCTGGGGGACATATCAGTAAAAAGGTTGCTGCATGAAATATCTGAGATTTTCTTGACAGTGTTCTCCTCTAGGACTTTAATGGTGTCACAGCTTATATTTAAGTCTTTTATCCACCTTGAGTTTATTTTGGTGTATGATGTAAGTTGGTGCTCAAGTTTCATTTTTTTGCACATAGCTTGGCCATCATAAACAAAGCAACAAAAAACAAGTGTTACAGAGGTTGTGGAGAAGAGGAGTCCCTAATCCATTGGTGGTAGGATTGCAGACTTGTATAACCACTGTGGAAAACAGTATGGAATTTTCTCAGAAAAATAAAAATCAACCTGCCTTTTGACCCAGCAATTCCACTGCTGGGATTATATCCTAAGAACCCTACAACACCAATCCAAAAGAACCTATGCACCCCAATATTCATAGCAGCACAATTTAGAATAATAGCCAAGAGATGGAAGCAACCCACATGCCCGTCAGTAAATGAATGGGTCAAAAAATTATGGTACATTTACACAATGGAATTCTATGCAGCAGAAATAAAGAAGGAGCTCCTACCCTTTGCAACAGTATGGATGGAACTGGAGAGTTCTATGCTGAGTGAAATAAGCCAGACAGTGAAAGGCAAATACCATATGATCTCACCTTTAACAGGAAGCTAAACAGCAAAACAAACAAGCGAGCTAAATAAAAACACAAACACCGAAATAGAGAACGAGAGGACAGTGACCAGAGGGGAGAGGGGAGGGAACTTCATGGGGAAAAGGGGAAGGATTTACAGGAACTAGTATAAAGGACACATGGACAACAACTAAGGGGGGTGGAAATGGGAGGGAGGTGGGGAGCACTGGGGGGCTTGGATGGGAGTAAAAAACAGAAAACTGTACTTGAACAATAATTAAATAAAATTTAAAATTAAAAAAAGAAAGCTGAAGCTTCAGTAGACATTATATTTTATTGAATTTGAGGCTGATTTCTAGTATCCCTGGGGGCATAAAGATGGGCCCTAAGATTTTCAGAAAAGGTTTCATTGTCATAGTGTAGTTTAGACTTCAATTAGAGTAGTGAAATTATCCATCAGGCATGAGGCAGCCACTTTGGGAAGAGCTACTCTGTGCTGCCCAAATGACATTAACTTTCTATTGCAGCAGGGTTTTATTTCTTGTTTTTTTTTTTAATTAATGAAAAAAGAGAAGTGGAGTTGGATGGAGAGGTGAATTCAAAGATTGAGTAAAATGCACCTAAGTTCCTTGGAACTAAATTCTTGGTATATGTATAATAGAGGATAAAGGAGACAATTAGAATATTTGCTAGGTTTATTAAGCTACTGCAAGGAGTTATTTTAGGTAGGTTTAAAGCCTTTTGGTCCTGTGCATTTAGGTTGAGGGCTCAACAAACTTCCTATTACACAAGCAATAATTTAGTAAAAAGCAATTATAGTTAATATAAATTTTATTTAAACATAAATTAGTACATGAAGTATCTTTATATATGAACTGTCATATTCTTAAATATCTTGTCAAACTAAGACTTGTTTCTAACTTTGTGTTTTGTTATATTAATATAGAACACCTTTGCACTTGGCCTGTGCTTATGGTTATTTGAATGTTGTATCTCTCTTAATTGAGAAACAATGCAAAATAGATGTCTGGGATAATGAAAACAGATCTCCATTAACTAAGGTTTGTTAACTTTTTCTTTTCAATTGGAATGTGTTTGACTTTTTTTCCTAGTTAGCTTTTGTTGAATTTCACATTTTAAAACAAAATATTAATTATTCACTTAATACATCATATCCTGAGTAGTAAATTGGTTACTCATGTCTTGTTGTTGTATTTACTGGTAGGCAGTACAATGTGAAAAGGAGAATTGTGCAACTGTTCTTCTAGACCAAGGTGCAGACCCAAATCTGGTGGATTTACATGGCAATACTGCTCTTCATTATGCTGTCTGTGGTCAAAGTGTCTCATTAGTCAAAAAATTGCTTGAACACAAAGCTAATCTTGAAGCACAAAATAAGGTACTCTTATTAAAAACAACACATTATATTTTAGAAGATAATATAGAAGGCAACTGAAGAAGGTATTCATTGCAGATAATTTATATCTGTTGAAACATGTATAAAGTATGAATTTTCCAAAATGAAATTGAGGAGAAGAATGAGATTATCAAATATTGATACAGTTTTTCTTATTTATTTATTTATTTATTTATCACTTTTGGGGGGGTTCCCTTTTAAAAGTCTTTCTCCATTTAATTTCAGATTATAATCCTAATCTCCAAAGCAATATCATATTTAACAGTGATGACTGTTTAAAGTCCTATGTCAAATGAGACTTATCTGATTTTCCTATAAATAAATATTTGTTAAAACCATAAAGCTCATATTTTTTCTATTTATATACCTATAAATAATCCTAAAAAGAGGGTTGAGTTAGAAAATCATTTACAATACTAAAAGTAATCCAAATCTCTTATTGAGATGTTATGGAAAACTGAAGAGTATTTTTTAAGCTTTTTAGCACCTTAGCACTGATACTTAGTCTACATAACAGACAAAAATAAATGCCATCCTTGGAGGTTTAAATGAAACCCTATGAAAATCCAATTGTAACACCATTATAGAATGCAAATGTATGATTTAAGTGCTTGCCACCTAAATAGTCTAGGCTGATCTTATCCACAAGTGGAATTAAGACTACAGTTGAAACTTTATTTTTTGACTGGCTCAACTCCAATTTATTTTGTTGGTCTTTGAAATCATATTTTGTTATGTATCAAAACCTTTTAAAATTAAAGGGTATATTAGAAGTTTATTATAAGCACTCTTATTTTTAAATTGAACTTAGATCTAAAAGACATGTTAATGTTGGTGCAATATTTTAAATAATCATTTTGAAATATATATTTTTTCAGGATGGGTGCACTCCACTTTTACTTGCCATTACTGAAAATAATGTGGAAATGGTAGAATTTCTTCTGAAGAGAGGAGCAGATGCAAATGCCTCAGATAAGAATCAAAGGTATAATTAACACTGAATAATAGCATATAACTATAGCAAACTTTTGGGATGTTTATATATATATGTGTATATATAAAATGTATATTATTATTGCTGTTGTTTTTGTAAAAAAGATCTAGCCATATGATTTTGGGCAAGTTACCTAGATTCCTGAGACCTATTTTTCTGTGAAATCAAACATTTGGACCAAAATTAGCAGGTTATTATTATTATATTTTTATAACATTAGAATCTTACACAGAAACTCAACCCCTAAGTCCTAGATACTGTAACTCAATGTGGGTAGGGGACCCAGAACCCCAGAAACATTCTCCTCCATAGCATTTTGAGACATCTTGAAAACCCTAGGGTTTCGGGAATCAGGGACTAAAAATCACTAAGCTAGCTGCTTTTTAGGGACCCTTTATCTTTATTTTTTATTTTTTTAAATATTTTGTTTATTTATTTTTAGAGAGAGGGTAAGGGAAGGAGAAAGAGTGGGAGAGAAACATCAATGTGTGGTTGCCTCTCATGTGTCTCCTACTGGGGACCTGGCCTGCAACCCAGGCATGTGCCCTGGCTGGGAATCATACCAGTGACTCTTTGCTTCACAGGCCCATGCTCAATGCACTGAGCTACACCAGCCAGGGCGGACCCTTTATCTTTAGAATCCGGATGTGATCTGGAGTGACAAACCTTTTTGAGCAGATCTGCTCCATTTTTTACATTCTTGCCCTGATTCTTTTCCTGATAGAGATTCTACACTTGGACTGTAAATTTAGAAGATTAACTTTTTATAAAAGGGCAAGGCATGCTTAAGATCCATAAATACACATTTATATCTCTTGCTCCAGAACAGCCCTTATGATTGCTCTAAGTGATGAACCAACAAGTTTAGTCAGTCTTCTTCTTCAGCAAGAAGTGGACCTATCTTGCCAAGATATTTATGGATTCACAGCTGAGGAATATGCTTCTTTTAATGGTTTTACTATGTAAGTGATACTGCATATCTTTTAACAATTGTATGGAATTTGATCACAAGAAAGAAACATGAACTCCAAATACAAAGCTGGAATAGGCTCTGCAGTAGAGGTGACCACATTATGAACTGCAGTCCCATGGCTCCAAGGATCCTTGCTTTCACCTGCTTATAGAATTCAATGTAAGAACTACAGGTAGACTGAGTATACAGATTAATTGCCAGTGGCATGCGAATTTGCAGTATGTGAGGAGAGAGGATTCCAACAACTAGTAACATAGCCATTAATTAAATCTGGGTAGTAGGGTTGGGCAAAATATGATTAATTCACATAAGCTCCTTTCAATGTGTTTACACATTAGTGATATAATAAGTATATGCTCATGAACCCAAAATATAAAACTTTTATGCATAATAATATATTTCTGACTTTAATAGTAAATGAAAAATTGAAATGCAGTGTTCAGAAATACTTTCTGTTTTTGATCCTCCTTTGTAATGGGAACTAAGAGCTCTGTAATTGTGACTTTTGTTGCTTGAGTAGCTGTTACCTATCTTCCATATTTACCACATGGCCTTTGCTTATTAGTATCATTTATTAGCTCTTTTTCTTGGCACATAGTTTCTATGGTTTCTTAACAGTGGGAACATAGATAATATTTCTCAAACAGTTTTTTAAAAATAAGCATAACTGTGTCAAATCAGGGAATTATATTCAGACATATTTTTTAGTCAGCTTTAATCCACACATTACCTCATTCCTTTAATTTTGAAAATTTCCTCTAATTCCTGTAATTTTGAAACCACATGCCTACTAATAAGTCACCAGAATGGGCTTTTTTCAGGCATGGAGAGACGGTTTATTCTTTACTGGGCATGTCTTAGTCCCTACATTAATTATCCTCACTTGTCAATTTACTCTTAAGACCACATGTTATGAGCTGAATTATGTACCACCCCCTCCCCAAATTCTTATGTTAAAGTCCTAATTCCTAGTACCTCAGAATTTGAATGGCTATATTTCAGGAAAGGACTTTTAAACAGGTATTAATTTGAAATGACTGTGCATTAGGTTGGGCCCTAATCCAGTCTGATTGGTGTCCTTATAAGAAGGAGATATTAGGACATACAGAGAGACACCAGAGGTATTCATGCACATGGGGACAACTTATGTGAAGAGGCAACAGGATGATAGTCATCTACTAGCTAAGGACAGAAGCCTGGAACTCATGTTCCCTTAAGGCTCACAAAGGAAATCCACTCTTCTGGCACCCTGATTTTGGACTTCTAGCCTCCAGAATTGTAAGAAAATAAATTTCTGTTATTTAAGTCACCTAGTCTAGTATTTTCTTATGGCAGTCCTAGCAAATTAATACACCAAATATACCCTAAAGCCACTTTTCTACCTTGCTAGTGGCTTATTTATGACAGCAGGAAGACACTAAGGGCCAGGGAATGAGAGAGAGTACATGAAATAAAAACAGTGTCTGTTGATGGAGCTGGCTTGAGGGAAGTTTCAGGTCAGCAGCAAGTGTGTGACATACTTGAGAGGGCATTAGCTAATGTCTATGGTTTTGATTTGATAATTACATATTCAGTTGACTATTTCTGAATGCTAATATTCATACATATTTCTCTCTTTATGGATAGATATCATCATTTAATTGCTAGTTATGGAAAGGAAAAGAAAGTAAAGAAGGTATATACTGAAGATAAAATCTTGGACACTACATTTGATAAAGAAGAACTGAAGGAAGGAAAAATAATAAAACAGAACAAGTAGTTTTTCTTGTTGGTTTTTATTTGTCTTTTAGGAAGTGTGGTGGACTCCAGCCAGCAGAGTCCACCTGTTGCGGCTGACAATGAGAACGAATACACAGATGACAACAATCCTGTGCAGAAAAGGGGGATGGCACAGCTATTTTCTCAAGAGGAGAGGGTTTTGACCCTTGCCTAGACAAGCTTTTATTGTTTTCCTTGGGCCTTACATTAGAGAAATATTTATTATCTATTGCATAGAATATTATTGTCTACATTTTAGGTACAATCAAGGAAATGAAAATAACATGCAGAGGAGAATGGCAATGAGCTAATTAGCTCTGTCCTTGGGAACATTCATACAGGCTTTGGATATTACCTTGAAGATAGACAATACACATTTGTTATTTTAGACCAGGGTGATGGAGTTTTAGCAAGAGCAAGCTATAACAGTCTGTATGCATTTTCTAGGCCTGATTCCCATGGGAAAATTTGGTTTGAAGGTCTGGCTCCTGCCTATCACTTCACTCCTGCCCAAAAAACTTCGCTCTGTTTTTTCATACAGAGCTGAGTCACATTTGCAGGACTTAAACAAAACAGTCCCCTACAAGGAAGGAACACGGCTTTCTCAAGTAATGTTTTATTTGAAATTGAAATTTTCTCCTATTTTGAAATGCTAAATATTTTTAAGAACTGTTCTTATGAATATTTGTGACTAAAGTATTCTGGCACTGTATTGACTGAAAATATAATGTAAAGATACACTTGAATGCTTAAGATAATTTAATCCATAGCCTCTTGACTAATTATAGAAAATAAAGTAATTTTTGAAATAAATAGAGATTTTAATATGTATTAAACTGTTATTAATTTTTTTATTCTAAAAATTCTTCAGAGAAGTAGTTCAATAATAGATAGTATAATATTGGGTTGGCCAAAATGTTCATTTGTTTTTTTCCATAAGATGACTCTAGTGGTGCTTATTTATCTTTAACTTGATTCAGAACAATTTTGTTACATTGTATTGTGACAGCTTTCATCAGTGTACATTTTTAAAAAAACATCAAATTTGGTGAATTATTGTGTACCCATTTTAATATTGAAGATGGAAGAAAATACACAACATTTTTGTCATATTATACTTTATTATTTCAAGCAAGGTAAAAAGATTTGTATAGTGTGTTGAGAAAGTGCTGTGACTGATTGACCATGTCATAAGTGGTTTGCTCAGGCTGGCTTAGAGACATATGAAAGGATGCTCAGTATCACTAGCCATCATAGAGATGCAAATTAAAACCAAAATGAGATATGAATTTATACTGGTCAGAATGGCCATGATAAACAAATAAACAGACAACAAATAATATCAAGGTTGTGGAGAAAAGGGAACCCTGGTGCACTGTTGGTGGGAATGCAGACTGGTGCAACCTGTGGAAAACAATATGGAATTTTCTCAAAAAAACTAAAGATGGAACTGCCTTTTGACCCAGCAATTCCACTGCTGAGATTATACTGTAAGGACCTTGAAACACCAATTCAAAAGAACCCAATGCATCCCAATGCTCATAGCAGCATTATTTATAACAGCCAAGTGCTGGAAACAGTGTAAGTGGCCATCAGTAAATGAATGGATCAAAAAACTGTGGTACATTTACACAATGGAACTCTAGGCAGCAGAAAAAAAAGAAGGATCTCCTACCCTTCACAATATCATGGATGAAACTGGAGAGTATTGTGCTAAGTGAAATAAGCCAGGCAGTGAAAGACAAGTACCATATGATCTCATCTATAAGTGGAATCTAATCCACAAAACAAACAAGTGAGCAAAATATAACCAGATGTTGAAATAAAGAACAAACTAACAGTGACCAGAAGGGAGGGGGGAAGGGGATAATGAGGAAAAGAAGGGGAAGGGTCAAGTCAAAGAATATGTGTAAAGGACCCATGGACAAAGACAACAGGGTATGCAGGGGAGGAATGAAAGTAGAGGTGAGGAGTGGGTAGGGCAGGAGAGAGTAATGGGGAAAACTGTAGTGGAACAACAATAAAATTTTTTTAATGCTTTGTGAAATTTGTGCTGGAGATTTCTCACTGGATGATGCTTCACAGTAAGGTAGACATGTTGCAGTTGATAGTGACCAAATTGAAAGATTAATTGAGAACAGTCAGTGTTACATCATGCAGGAGATAGCTGGAATACTCAGAACATCCAAATCAATAGTTATTGGTGAAAATGAAAAATGTGTCTCTTATTTTACAGATAACCTAAACAAGCTTTTTGGTCAACCTAATATATACCTAACCATTACATAAATGTAAAATTAAGTAACAATATTTGTGAAGAATTGAAAAAAACATGCACCTTAAAATATATTTTGGTATTTATTTTCAAAAATACATATAGTTATTTAGGTCTGTGAAAATCAGCTTTACTTTGGTGAATATGTGTTTTTAAAAAATTTTGTATTATTGTTGTTCAATTACAGTTGTCTCCCTTCTTCCTTGTTACTCTCCCCTGCCCCTCCCACCCCTCACCTCCACTTTCAATCCTCCCACAGCCCCTATCCCTTCCTTGTCTTTGTCTCCAAAATATATAAAGAACTCACATGACTCCATACCAGGAAGACAAACATTCCAATTAAAAAAATGGTCAAAAATCCTGGTGAGTATGTCTTATGTTGGTGTTCTGTTATTGTTAAATGAAATAAAACTTTGTACAATTAGTCCCTGTATTCACCAACAACCACACTCCTACTGTACCCTTCACCTGTGATGTAAAAAAGTAAATATGGTGGAACAGAAAGAGAGCCTGATGGTAACAGGACATCATGTAAATGGCAAAACTATTCAAACACTCTCCATGCCCTCAAGTCTACAGTTAAGATACTTAGAATGATTCTTGGCCCCAGTGACTTGAGGTAAATAATTTCAAGAGAGAATTTCCCTGAATTCCTTTTTTATAACTTAATCTCACACAAATTTTCAACAAAATTTGTTTTTTCTGGACTCTCAATCTACATTATTATATACTTGTCTCTTACCATCTCTCTCTCTCTCCCTCTCTCTGTCTCTCAATTTCCACACAGCTATAAGAAATAAAGGATTTATGTGATTTACACTTTAAAGCTACCCTCAATCCTTTCACCCACAGTAATATATGTTTCCAGTTTCTAGTGAAATGTTAATTGTGGTGATGACTTTGCCCGCAAGTTCCCCTGTCTGCCACAGATGAAAGTAACACTACCAACACATGATCTGCTTGGGGAGGAGAGGTGGCCAATTTCTCAGAGGAAAAAGGCCCAGGAGCCCCTCCCTCAAGAAGCTTTTATTGGGTTATAATACACAGGAATACAGGCTGTAAGGATCAAACAGTGGATAACATTTCAAAGAAATCTGAGAGCTTAATCTGAGTCAATGTGTGTCAGGAAAGGGGGTTGCAGAAACTTTGGGAGACATACTCATTTCCTGCTCAGACATTTAACATATGAATGAAAGCACTCTTAGCAAAGCAGGTTTCACAGGACTCTTAGGAATTCTTTCTTATGTCTGATTATCCCGGATCCCACTCTAGCCAGGCAAGGGGCTGCACTGCCTCCCCCATCACAGGTTTTCAGGCATAAGTGAATTAGAGGCAAGAAGTGCTTCTCCCAGAGGACATGGGGACTTGAGCTATGTCAGAATAGCCAGGGGGTGAGGGTCCATCACTCCCTCTCTGTTGCAGCCCCCAAGTCCTTCCATGATGGCCTCCCAAGTGATGGTGTCTGGCTTAGGTTGCCCCTCCTGTGAGGAGTCTTACCCATCATTAACAACCATGCTTTGGGGACTAGGGATGAAGAGCAGAGGCAGCATTTGCTACCAGAGATAAACTTTGTCTCCTAGTGGCTTGAATTCCAGAGGTTGCTCACTCATCCTTAGCCATGGGGGGTAGTTACAACTCCTGAAACCAGGCAGAGTGGTTCCCAACAGTTAATTTTTTTTAATGTTTTAAAGTATAATTGAAATAATAGGTAAAGAAAATTACCAAAGACACAAAATAATGATGATGTTAAAAAGTTGTGTTTCAGTCAGATTCAAAGGGGTCATTTAAAAATGACTGTAAAATACAGAAGGATCAATTATTATTGCTAAATTATTATTGCATTGTAGCTGAGGAATATAATTTAAGATAAGAAATGTACTTAGTTGAATGTTAAATGAAGACACCACAAATATTACTTTTCTCATGTGTAACCACATTTCTGCAGATCTCTTGCTCCTGCCTTGAATTAGAAAAATCTATATTGAAAAAGCAGTTAAATGAACTGTCACAACATTTTTGCTGACTACTTGTTTGAAGAAAAGTTTGTGAGCAGTTTTCAGTGTAGAATCTGTGAAGAAATTTTAAAAGATAAACATCAATCTCATGAACTATCAGTTGAAAAGATACAATCATATTCAGTATATAGGCAGAAAAAAATTAGTCAAAATACTAAATGAAATATTAGTAAAAGTAAACTTTTCAATATGTTGTGTTAGGGATGCATGAGAACATTTAAATAAAGTAAAAATATTAACATTTCATCTACAAATAGAGGAGAAATTATAAATACTCCTGTGTAATTGGACATTTTCTCTTATTTACAAATACTTTCATTGATAAAACCCTTTTGATTTTCTAAAAGCACTATATTAATATTCATAAAATGTGGATAAAAAGAAAAAAATACATTACCATAGTGTCATAATTCAAACACTTGTTCAATTTTTGGCACATTTTTGAAGTTTTAAAAAATTTTCATAGTTTTTTCTCAAAGGGAACTTAAAATTTTGCATTTTTCTTTCTCAAAATGGCACATAGTTTGCAGTTTTCATTGTGCTCTTTGCCATACCTTAAATACATTCAGTATGGATGGTCAAGCTTCAGGACTTTTCCCTGGATGATTTCCTTTAGTTTCCTCTTTGGACAGCTTCCTTGACTCATGGGACCTCAGTCAAACTTTTCAGGTTGACCTGCCATTTGATCCTTACCTTTAGAATTGCAAGCTTTATGACAGCTTAAATTTTTTTTATAGTTAATTCTTCATCAGTTTTTTAATGCCTGGTGTATTAATGCCAGCTTGTCAAATACATAATAATTATTGGAACCATTAGGCACTGCTCCAAGCGCTTACCATATGTAATATTCAAATAGTCTTGTTGAGGTGAGTGC